GTTTTTGCGGTCATGTCTGCTTAACCAAGTGAAAATTCAAGCTGTGCTTTGATTAACTATAATCTATGCAACGGAATTAGCTACGAAAGCCACTCTAACAAGTTTCCTTCAACACAGTATTTATGGAAAGTGTGAATAAACTATATATAAACTGTGTACTATTTTATTTAAATAAAAATAAATATATATATTGGCACTCCTCCTTCAGTTTGTGGCTTGTGTATTGATGTTTTGCCAACGAACGGCCGATGGGTTAGAAAAATTAACTTCATTTTTTTACCACTGTTGTGGCCGCTTTACTCGACATATTTGTATGCACATATGTTTATGTGAGTTACTTTTTATATGATTACATTTCAATAATAATTTACCGTTCTTCACTCAATTTCATTTGCTTTGATATATCATTTTTGAATATTATGTAATTTTATTCAAAGCCAAATTCTGGAATTCCCAGCGGATGGGCAACTTACAGTTTTTTGTAGCATTGAGTGGCAATTTAAACAAAATGTCATGAAGACGTCTCAAAATAAATAATAAAATCTTTTAAAGCATAAAAAAGTGTCTGGTATTTCAGCGAAGAAATCTTTTGAATAATGTAACAAGCTATTTTACATTACACAAGCAATTTCCGGCCAGCCTCTCCTTCACTTAAATCATTTTGTATATCTTGGCTTGTTTGCGTATATACGTATGAATATTCTGTTCCCCTTTAAAATGCTCCTCTTAAATTGGATTAAAATTTCCAAAGATTTGCTGCTTTGCCACTCGTGTCTTCTTTCTAATTTTTACACTTTTTGGAAGACACGCTGTCGTGATTTTTTTTTGCTTACCGACAGCAGATTAGCCTCAGGAGTGTTTGCGAAGTACGAAATAATAAAGCCCCTCTCGGAAGTGCTTAACATGGCCCTGCCACTTGGCTGCATGCAAATACAGCCACCATCTAGGAGGCGTAGGCGACCAAAACAAATTTCCATAAGTGCGCATATATTATTCCGAAAGACCAGAGGTATTTGTCACCTGTTGAATTGGTTCTCAATTTAATTTGGAATGTAAACTGTGGAATTTACAAATAACTCTTCTGGATTGTAAGAATTCCAATCTTAAATTTAGCAACAAAAAATGCTAATATGGCTTTTTGCTAAAACATGCACTTCTCACTAACGTACCAAATTTTTTGAATATTCACTCATTAGTAAATATATATGTATACATGCGCACTCATTTAGCTCCAGAAGAATAACTTTATATATTCTTCATAACTAGTCAATTAATAATGGTATGGTATGGTTGGCAAATGACATGTAATGGAATGAATTTAATTACCGTATGTTTTTTAATTACACTTTTTTAACTACCAGTAATTGAATTATTTTATGACATAAATATACTCGCATATATATATGTCCAAATATCTTCAATGCATATCGTGAAATAAAAATAGAATGAGAAATATTTTAGTTTAATTTCTCTAGACTCATGTGAGTGGATATTTATGTATTATTATCAAATTCAGTTTCACTGTTAAGGTCATTAAGGCAACAAGTTTACGGTAGAGTACATACATATGTTTTATATATGTACATTGTTTGTTAAAAGAAAATATTGTGGTTGACATTCGAAATATAAGCCGTCGCCGCCAAACAATGTCATAAGTGCAAGCATATTTATTGCATATCACAGCAGTTGGCGGTGAGCCAACTTTTTCCGGACTGTGGCAAATAAATTGACCTCAACTTTTGTGAGTTTGTTTAAAAATTAATTTTTGGTGAATAGAATGCCAGAAATAAGAAAATATTAAAACAACATGGGTGGTCTTCGACCAGAGTAGAGCCGAATTTGCGAAGTGACTTTAATAAAATGTTGCGAAGTGGGTGGCGTCTGGGGCGCTAAATTTTTTTATTGTGATTAAAAATTGTTTTCATTTAGGCTAATAAAGCTAACGAATTCGATGAGTTCCATAAAGCCTCTTTGAATAGAGAAAATTGTGAAATTGAAGTATAAAGCATTAAATTTTTTCTTTTGAATTGTGAAGTATTCTTGTAATGTTCTGTTACGTTTATTGTCGTTTCTACAGGCATAAGGTAGTCAAATTTTTCTGTATATACATATTTTTCGCCTTCTTACACTTTCATACATTATTTTACCTATTCGTCGTTTTCTAATCATATAACCAACTGGAGTACAGGAAAAGTATAAGTTTGCGCAAAAAAATTCGCTGAAATATAATTTTTGAATAAATAACGTTATAAGTGCAAAATCATTGAATAACATCAGCTTTGTAGCTTTGTGATGCAGAAAGTTTTCAGTTTACTTATCTGTCTTTTATGGTTAAAACAAATTAAGTGCTTAACATTCTTTTGGATTCTCACACGCGTTTGCATGCCAACCGCAGATATTAAAAATATACTCCATACATCTGGGGGCAGACATAATGATCCGATTGGGGTGCAGAGTAATTTGCAGCCCCAAAGAAATATTATGCTTCAGTTGTTGACAGATGCAATCAAAAGCGTTTAATATGTTGGTTTCCCTAACAACAGCTGCAACCACTTTATGGTGAACTCCAATTGTGCAAACAGCCGAATGTAGTTGTCAAGTTAATAATAGTGCGTCAGAGGGGAACCCATTCAAGCTCTGGCTAGATCAACATATAAACTACTTTTTATAATGTGTTCGCCGGTAGCAGTAATTTTCAATTGCTAAGAAAGTATTTTTGACACAAACGGAAGGAAAATACATTAAGACATACGCTAGAAACTTCGAGGGTAAGCTCGGGCATAAGATATTTACTGGCATATGTTGAGTGTGTGGGAGTTAGCAATTTGTCAAACTTTGCATTTATTTCACATTGATTAAATTTTGGCTTGGGAGAATCCATTTCACTGATGGTGGATTCTCTCTCTCTCTCTCTCTCTCTCTCTCTTTCTTCGGTGGGAGGGACAGTATCCAGCGATGTTAGCTTATATTATGCTTCGGCGTGCGTCAGTGGTTGCAGTTGTGGTTATATTATATTAGAAACAAGCCGTACCTTGCAACGCTTCGCTGCCGCACATACTCATTGAATGTATAAAGAATTAATCATGGATTATCTTATTATCATAACTTTAAAAAAATGTTTGGATTTACCATTGACATTGGTCCACTTCCCGAAGAGAAGAGTTGTTTTCATGCTTATCTAAGCAAAAACTCACCTATTTACCCAATTTCAAGTAAATCAAACCATAAATTAGATTTCTTCGAATAAACTTTTGGAAATTTCTTGATTTTTCAAAGCGGACATAAGATTTTTATATGTAAGATTTATTTAGCAGGTTTACAGTGGAGCTAACAGGAATGTGGATTTTTTGGAATTTGCAACCTTTCGTTTTATGATCTTCATAAAGTTAGCTTTCTTCTTCTTTACTGGCGCAGACACCGCTTACGCGATTGTAGGGAAATTTATAACATTGCACCATTCATTTCTTTTTTTCGCTGTTTGGCGCCAATTTGAGATTCCAAGGTGGAGGTCTTCCTCTTCCTCTGCTTCCTATCCCTCCGTACCAAATGAACTAGTCAGCGCAGCCGCTGTTTCTTGATTCGCTGAACTATGTCAATGTCGCGGTATATCTTATAGAGCTCATCATTCTCATCATTACTCAGTCCTAGATAGCACCTGGAGATATTTCGTCTTGTCCTCATTCACTTGCAGACTCATATCCTTCGCATCTGGAAAAAGCAGTACTCACTGCGTGGTTATTGAGGCCAATAATGGCAATATCATCGGCGTACGCCAGCACTTGTACACTCTTATAGAAGATTGTATCTTCTGTATTTAGCTCTCCAGGTCGTATAATTTTCTTCAAGCAATAAGTTATAAAAGTCATGCGATAAGGAATCGTCCTGTTTCAAGCCTCGCTTCGTATCGAACGGCTCGGAGAGGTCTTTCCGGATCCTGACAGAGCTTTTAGTGTAGCTTTACACTTACGTGTATAAGTTTTGGTTTCCCCAAATTCAGACATGGCGGCGTAGAGCCATAATATTCTATTCGCGCTGTCGAAGGCTGCTTTAAAATCGACGGAGATATTGTGTTTTCGTTCCTCTTTTCAATGGTGTTTTCCAAGGTTTGATGCATGAATATCGATTTTCCAGACCTAAAGCCACACTGATGGGGTTCAATCAGTTTGTTGACAGAGGGCTTTAGTCTCTCACACACTGCGTTCGAAAGCACTCTATATGCGATATTAAGGAGGCTTATCCCACGAAAATTGGCGAAGACTGTAGGGTCCTCTTTTTTATGGATTGGACAGTGGAAACTTAAATGGGAAGGTGATGACAAAATTATGTCATATTTTTAATTTTTTTTTTTATTTTTTGAAAATTTTTCTGGCAACCAACTTTTCTATTTCAAATAGTTCATAAAAAATCGCTACACAATACAAAAACTATAATCGGAATGCAATCACTTCTCAAAGCTAATATCAACTTATTTCATTCATGCTGGAATTTTGCATATAAAATCTTTGACTTTCACTTTTCCATGGTGCATATGTATCTATTTGCAATCACCCCAAATGTTCCTTTTTCGAAAAGTGAGCACATTTAGTGCAGTACAGTAACGTCCGCCTCACGTCCGCTTGACTCCAAGGAGACTGGCAGACAAAGCCGTTGCACATTGGAGTGAAATGCAATTTCGGATTTGTGCTTTCACACAATATGTGTGTGTGATATTGTGTGATTTTCATAAAGCAAAGTACTTCGATGAGAAGGCGTTATGTGCATGTTTTGGGAAACATAATAAGTGATTGTGTAAACTCTGCTCTGTCGGATAAGTAATATGTATAAGATTGCGCACACATTTGCTCTACAATAACCTCGGTCACGGGTGTATGGGTTTTTCTGAAGTGCTTACTTGTTTGCTGTTTCGAGTGCACTTTGTAATGGTTGAGACACATTTTTCTTTGTTTCCCTATTTACCGGAAGGATTTATAATTATTATTGTACTTCTTTCCTTTTTCTAGACTATTCAATATTAAAGATTTATGAAATAAATGTTGTGATCCCACTACAAGAACATCCAACGCACGTACACCTCGCAAATAAAGACATAAATGCTACAGTCCGGCAGACCGACCGTTAGTTAAGGTAAGTACATGCATTTTATTAATTCAAGTAACAGTAATAAATCCTTTAGGGCCGCGGTAGTCGAGTGGTTAGTGGCGGGGAATGTCCACCCCTCCAAGTGTATTTCGGACAGCAAAGAAAGGCCCTCCACAAAAAACCATCAGCCGTTCGGAGGCGGCTTAGTATGAACTGTAGGTCCTTCCATTTGTTGGAAAAACATGAAGACGCAACCACAAATTCGAGGAAAACGCCGGAAAATCGCTTCAGCGCCTACAAAGCCCCAATTATATATATAATTGTAATCTGAGAAAATTATTTCAATTTTGTTTGGCGAGCTCTCGGTAAAAATTTTGTTAGCTTATACTGAATTTCGGGCGGCTGCAATAACCGAGTGCCATTCTGAAGGCCAGGTCAGGCATCAAGTCCTGGTTCCACATATATTCAAAGTATAGTGCATTAATTTTTCTTATCACAGTCGCCGTTCTGCAGGGAATGTCAAGACCTCCGAGTGTATTTCTGACAAGAAATATAAAGCTCCTCATAAAAATCTATCGTTCGGAGGCAGCCTAAAATAAACTGTAAGTACCTCCATATGTTGGGAAAGATCAACATAATAAAAAATATTTCAATAAATAACAACCACTTGATTTGGCCGCTTAAACGTCTGATGTTTTGAGAAATTTTGTGCTTTTACAGTAATAGATATAGATGTTGTCCGATGAACTCTCCATGTAGCTGCTTTTTCAACTTTTTTATCTGTATTGCAGTATTTTATGACTGTCTTCAATTTAATATTCTATTAAAATGTAAAGTTTTAAATTAAAAGAGGACCTTTTTGAACTACGACTTCTTTGCGATTTGACATCTTCAACGAACTTCCCGATAAGTCAAATATTCAGTACAAGATTTGCCGTTTACCAAATAGCTAAGATTGCCACTGCAAGAAACTCGCCTTCGAAATACTTTATGGATTAATTTGTGCAGCGAAAGCCATTCGTTATCGAGTAAAATGCGTATATAGCTCAAAGTATGCTCTAAAAGCCATCAACGTTAACTCAACATCGCTGGCAAGAATTCAGTATTTCGCAATATTTTGTATAAAGACCTCGGTATGAAGGCTTCTAAAGTCCAAATGGTCCAAGATGTGAAGCCGCATTACAATCCGATGCAATTACGCTTTGCTCCAATGCTGAAGATCTTGGACGAAGATTATCGGTTTAACGAATAATCATATTTTCCGATGCAGCTCATTTTCACCTTCGCGGCTATGTTAACAAGCAAAACTGCAGTTATTTGTTTCCAAACGCTGAACAACAGTTTTAAATGCGAAAAATGAAATCATAACAAAAGCTAATCAAATTTTAATAAAATATATTTAGTATATGTTGCAGAATAAGCAAGTTTAATGATATGCCAATGTATCAGCGCGGAAAATAGATTTATTAAGGTTTATTTTTGCTTCACCACAGACGTAATTAATATTAATTTTTATCACGTCAGTCCTTTTAGTTTTTGTTGTTTTTCTTTTCCATAACACGTAATAAATTATAAGCAATTTTTTAAAGCAAACATTTGTTTTCACTTATACGCAGACATTTGCATAATGGCAGATATTCTGTGGAAAATGCGAGTACTCCATGCCATGCAATTAGCATTAGGACAGCCACCTCTACAAAACATCGCAGTACTCCTGGGAGTACTCACAGGAAACTATTTTTCTACACTATTATAAACAAAATACGCCAAGGAGCACCTACAGGGGATAAAAATGTGGTGGAGTGCTGTAAAACATAATGCTTATTTTGAGCACTTGCCACTTCGTCTACTAATTGCAGTCGTTAAAGCACGAGCAATCATAGGCTAACAACTGGATGGTGTTGATCCAACGGCGCGCTACAGGAAAGTGCACCAATGGACCAGATGATCCAAATGGCCTCTGTAGGTGTAAATTGTCGCTTGGCTTCCAGTTCGTGGTTATTGATGAACTATTTATTTTTTATTATCTTGTTTTTTTTTTTACACGCAACCTGGGCTATAATAAATTTCGCTTCCTTACAAAATCAAATACAAATAATGAATATTACGTATTTATATATGTGTTTGTTGTATTTTTTTGCCCGTTCATGTCCAACTTGCGCTATTGTCAATTTAATTTCAGAAATACTCACGTGATGTTAGAATTTATTGCATTTCTTATTCATTCGGTATTTTTTATACACTCGAAATTTGGGTTTTTGTAAATTTTTCTCGTATTTATAGTTGTTTTATTTTCAATTGGTTTTGTAATTCATTTTATAGTCGTTTCCGCCAATTCATTATTGAAAGAAGTTAGATGGTTATTGTTAAGTTTCGATTGGCAGACTGCCAAGTTTACGCTGGTTAAAAGTGGACAAAAGTAAGAACAGTCACTTTACCAATCAATCATCGATTTGATAAACAAATCAATAGAGGTGAATTCGAATTTAGTTCCAATAGTAAATGTTCACTTTTCTGCTATTTATTTCGCCTAACCGAAGTAATTCCACCCTGTCGTATTTCCGAATAATTCACTATGAGTTATTTAAGTATCGTAATTATTTTTGTGTCAGAAATCCAGACAGAAGGTTGACAATTTGTATGGTCAAAATAAGAATTCTCGTCTAAGTTTATCAAAAAATTGGTTTAAGTTGGTGTTAATATTATATTATTTATATATCTTGCTGTGTTCCTTTGTTGTATATATTTATTTATGGCTAAGCAAATGTGCTTCATTGAAAAGTAAAGTATGTATGTATACTTGCCTAAACGCATTACAAATTGATCATTTATTCAAATTTAATTAAAGAATGCAATTCTTTTAATTTCGTTTTTCTGAAAACACCCTGTTCGTTACAAATCATGGCCTTGCTAGTATTCGAAATATTTTTATAAATGCGTTTGTGTAAATATTTCCTCAATCATTGCACTGCTTCACAGCTAAGCTGTTGTCTTTTATCATAAAATTGGATTTCCAATAGTTATGCGTTTATGCTTGAAACACCATCGGGGTATGTACATATTTATTTTCATGCACGTGAACTTTATTTATAAAGTCAGCAATCAGTGCATTATGGTCGGATATCGGTAGGTTGTGCGAAACACATGCATACTTATACACGAATATAAATGTGGCCAACTATAGTCGAGTGTTAAGCAACGTGTAAACCCATTCAGAAAACCTGAGTTCGATTCCTGGTCGACCAGCATCACCTGGGCGGGGAATGTCTAGCTGTCCGCGTTTATTTCTGACATGAAAAAAAGCTTCTCAAATAGAAAGTCCTTCCATTTTTTGGAAAATCATCAAGATGCACAACACGAATTGGAAAAGGATCCCGGCCGAAAATCTCTTCTGCGGTTACAAAGCGGCAGTTTTATATATTATATACATACATATGAATATATATTATATACACATATAAAGGCATTTATAGGTACAAATGTGCTATCAACACAACCAAAATATTATATACATATGCATATGTGCCACTTACATATAACTTCTATGGGTAAACAAAAATATTCGCCAGTATGCGTTTAAATACTAATATGTGCAATGCTTGTTTCTGAGGCTGTTGTTCCTGCTAACCGGTTACTGGAGCTTGTGCTTTTTGGAACCAAGCTACATATATATATGTGAATGTGTACAACAATAATTGTATGATAACAGATATATTCTTCTACAATATATGCTTGTATGGCTCAGTGTGCCAAAACCCTACGATTGACTGCTTTGGGCACCTAGAACTATGCAACCACATTTGTAGAGTAAATCTAAGTATTTTTTGTATAGCCGACTGTATTCTGTTATACATACATACATTCATATGCATGAAGTATATGTATGCATTTATTTACCTTTTGTATTTTGCAATTCTTTGTTTTGGTTTTTGTTTTCGTCTAAGGTAATTTGCTAAACCGAATTGGAAACGAGAAAAATAAGGTCATATGCGTGCTTATGTATGTTAATGTATATAATATAGCAAAATAATGTACATTTGTAAATTTATTCAAATATGCAAACCGGTGCAAATGTGTATAAAATTTTTTATTCGTTATACACCCCCATATACGATGCAAAGATTTCCTGTCAAAAATTTATTTGAAAAGTTGTAAAATTTTTTTGGTAACATGGCAGTTTAATTAGCAATTAAACAGAAATAAAATTCCTTTGTAGTTCTTTGATTAGTTGAGATTGTAATTAAGTTGGTGTAAAGACCTTCAACAAGTTTTATTGCAGGTGATAAAAACAAAGGAATGTAGTTCCATTCAAAATTTTTTGACAATTACGTGAATTCAAAAATTTCCTGTGAAATTGAATTGATGTACTTTCACACACTCTTTGCAACTTCTATTTTGTTATACTCTTTCATTCAGTCACACCCATATCGTTTATCGTATTCTAAATTCATAAACAACTGTGTTGAAATTTTTCTTTCAGTTTGAACGAAGTGCGAATTTTTCGAGGTATCTTCAGGTGATTGTTGAAAATACTAATGTTTAAATAAATACATAATTCAAAGATGCTTGAAACATATCTGCAGATATAAGAACATCGTTAGAAGAACCTGCAGTGAGCAAAAATTTACACATTGGGACACTTTCATTCGAATTGTGAATGTGAAAATGGGAGCACGGCGGTATATCTCATTTTCATTTTAACCTGAAGATATTGCCACCTTAAAAATATTTCTTTTATATAATTTTTTTTTGCATTGAAAGATGCGAGTACTTTTAAATAAACACCTCATGTCTTCTCAGCAGCCAAAACAATATGAGCGAACCAAGCGTCCTTTATTTCAAAATGGTGATCACCGAGAGTCTAATACAACGAGTCTACTCGCTGCTATATCTTAAGACTGGGGCTGCCATATTATTACTATTTTTACAAACTATGACTTAAGGCCAACTCGTAAGATACGTGCACACGTGTATCTGCCTTACCGGCTCCTAAAGCGTCAAAAATGCTTTGCTGCCTGAAAATAAATTTATTTACAGCACATTTC